TTTCCCTCTCTCTATGTTTGTCTCTCTCTGATGAGCACATGCACCCTCTGGCAAATAAACAAACAAACAAATTGTCTTTTGCAGATTGTCTCCCCTCTTCCCTTCCTTCTCTCCCCACTAGCCCCATTGAGGATTCAGTAGGTCTGGGCTGGGGCCTAAGAATGTGTACTTCTAAGAAGGACCCAGATGATGCTGATGCTGTTGGCCTGGGAACTATACTTTGAGAACCACTGCTTTGGGGTCCTCTCTGCTGCATAGGGCTACTGCCTGTTTGCCTTTTCTAAGCCTTCCAAGAGACTGACATCTATAACTGTCTGACCTTGTCTTGTAGGATGGAGATGAATTTTTGTAAGATTTACTAGAATTTGACCAAAGTGGGGAGAAACCTTGATTTTAAAAAAAATTTTAAATCAAAATTACACCATATATATACATATATGTATATATATGGTATAATATATAATATAGGGGGTATATATGGGTTGCCAGAGGGCACATGAGCTCATCAGAGAGAGAGAAAGCAAGAGAAAAGACAGTAACCCCCATGAAGGATAGTCACCCCATAGTCCTTCCTCTCCACTCTCTTTTTTGGATTTTGGGCACACATGCACACATGTTCAATGTGTTTTCTCAAGCCGCTAAGTCTAGGTCTTGAACTCCACAGTCAGCCATGCAGGATTCAGCCACCTTAACCGCCATGCCACAGCTGGCCCGCATTTTGTCCCTTTATAATTATGAAAGAACTAAAACTGGGATTGCCACCTCGGACGTGATGGTGCCTGTGCTGCCAGGACACCGGTAGGGGTGTAGTCTAGAGGCACACCTTGCAATATTTAAGTAAAGTTGCACCTCCATCTGTTATGGAATTCCCACCTGGTGTCAGATGACTGCACTGCAAAGTGGAAATAATACGTGATCTTTCAGAGAAAGTGCAGATGAGCAAAGAGGACACAGGAGATAAGCATATGAAACAAAAGGGACCACATTGTTTGCCAAGTCTTTTCATACCGACTGTGGGCCTGGCTGAGTCATGGTCCCCAGGGTTCCGAAATGAGGGAATTTCATGGCATAGGGAAGCCTGCCCTCTGCAAAAAGTCATTTTTCTAATGCCACATGTCACTCAGGATAGCAGACGAGGAAGTGGAATTCCAAACCCAGACTTCAGGAAGTTTCTTCCTCTTCGCTGCCCTCCTTCTCAGAATAAGTCCTCAAGACCTAAGGACTGTGCAGGTATACAGTAGTGGCCAGAGCTGCATCAGAGAGTACTGTGGGGACACCAGACTTTCTGAACAGAAACAGGAGACAAAAATAAAATCCAGAAGGATGAGCAAGTGGCATAACGGTTGAGGTGTTGGACTCCCACATGGCCAACTGTGGTTTGAGTCCCAGATTTGGCAGCTTTTCCCCCTCTCTCTCTTTTCCCTCTCTCTGGTGAGTGTGTGTACCCTACAGCAAATTAAATAATAATAATAATAAATAAAATTAAATAAATAAATAAATGATTTTTAAGAAAATAGTATCTTTAAGAAGGGAATTGAAGAGGAGCAGGAGACCAAGGCTTTCCCCTGCAATAGGGAGGGTGGATTAGTAACCTTTTGCCATACAAGTTACCCCAACATTTATCAACCTAAAACAAGAAATGTTTATTATCTTATACTGTTTCTGAGTTAGAGAGCTTAGAGTGACTTAGCTGTGTGATTTGGGCCCAGAGTCTCTCATAAGGTTGCCATCAAGCTGTCATTTGAAGGCTTGACTGAGGCTGGAGAACCCAGTTCCAAGATGGGCTTGCTCACACGGCTGTGGCTGGAGGCCTCTGCTCTGCTCTGCTCTCTTGGTACATTAGGCCTCTCCACAAGGCTGCTCATGATGTAGCAGTTAACTTCCCTCAGAGCCACCAGGCCAAGACAAAGAGGAGAATGTCAAAATGCCTTTTATAACCTACTCTCAGAAGTGACACACTGTCACTTCCACTTCTGTCTGTTCATTAGAAATAAGTCACTAAGTCCAGCCCATACAAGAAGAGGGTCACCCCAAAGAGTGAACTTTTTCATCCTACTCTTACCAGGCTACAAAAAAAACCACACAAGAATAATTGATAGTGCTTTTGGTATCAAGGTGACGGAGACTGTGGTCCTAGGGACTATAGGGTTTGGCCTGATTGGACTGAGGAGAGATGGCTGGGGAAGGGAACAGGTTTTGGAAACTCTCTTTGGACTTTGAACTCACCATCCTGGGACCCTCTTTGGGACTGGGAGTGTGCTTGCTTAGTAAGGACTGAAGCCACCTATGAGTCCAGAGCCTCAGGCTGGCTCCAGAGAAGAGGAAGAAGAGGCTGGCTGCTTAGGGCCGACTCTGTGCTGGAGAGACAGCAACAAGCAATACCATGCATTTCCTTCTAGAGTGTTTGATCTCTGGTTGGGAAAGAAACATGGAAGTCAGAGTGGTGTCCTAGAATACAGAGGCACTTCTGGGCTGTGCCTGTCAGGAAGGGAACTGGGGGTGTGTGGAGGGATGTTAAGAAGCAGGGTGGGGAGAACCCCCACTATTTATTAAAATGATCCCACCAAGGGTGATGACTCAGTCCCACTAGAAGCAACAGCAGTCGGCCTTTGTGGTTAAGATTCCTGGGCCCCATGGAGAGACCCTCCCACCAGGGCAGATCTTTACTTTGTCCACCCCTGCTCCACAGATGGATTTTGTATAGCTGTCTTCTTTCGAGGCTGCAGAACCACTGGTGGTCATATTGTACTGTGTCAGTTCTTATCGCCCTATCATCCCCAGGGAATAAGCTAATCAAACTGGCTGATGATTTTACACTGAGAAGGAGATAGCTAATAACTTGGATGACAAGTATTAGAATACAATGTGATGTGGATAAATTGGGTCCATGTATTAAGAGCTATAAAGTGAGATTCCATCAAGGCATGAATAATGGTGCCTGTGGAAAGGATTAATCAAGTACCCCATTAAAAGGTAGAGGGATTCTGGTCAGACAGTCCCTGTTTAATTACACTCCTGCCCCCACCCCACCCCCACTCCCTTCTCCCTGGAACTGCTTTCTACTCAGAGCAATATGGAAAAGAGTTTAGAAGAAATAATAGAAAAATTGGGACATACGTTTTGATAGAGCAAGATCATGAAGACAGATTAAGCAACCAGTGTTTAATTTAGAGGGGAAAAAAAAAGGGAAGTGGCATGAGTAATCATTTACAAATGTAATTCCCAAAGGAGCCCTGTTGATACCATTCAGCAAATGCCAACAAAGCATTTACTTTCCAAAGGGAGAAAGCAAGACAAGAGAAATGAAGGCACCGCCAGGAGTGGACCAGAGAGCAGCCAAGCCCTAGAGAAGCATCAGGTGTGAGAATGGGCAATGCAGAAGATAGACACAACTTCTGAAAGAGCCCTGAGGACTGACTTTGTCTGGAGAAGGCTTCCTGGAAGAGGAGACCCCAGCAGAGCCCTGAAGTGTGGACAAGCTTCCATGTACTGCAAATTCGTGAGCACACTCTGGTGACAGGGTCTAGTCAGCTGATGGGCTGGAGCAGTGCAGGGGGCACCCGTGGGGTTCTTCTTCTCCATTTTCTCCACCACCACCACCCTGGTCCGAGCTGCCATCAGTCTCACCTGGACAACTGCAAAAGCCTCCAGCTGTTTTCCCTGCTTCCACTCTTGCTCCTCTACAATCCATTCTGCACACGAAGTCAGAATCCAAAGTTAATCATGTCATTCTCTTGACTTATGGCTGCCCGTTACTCTTAAGCTAAAAGTAAAAGTCATTCCCATGGCTACAGAGTCTTGCAGGGTCTGGACACATCCTGTGCCCGGCTCCTTTTCCCTGTATCTGCCAGTCAAGCTGACCTGCAAAATTCCTGCACTTTGGGTCTCCCTGCCACAAGGCCCTCGCACATGCTTTCCACCCTCTCTGGAAGCGATTTTCCTTCATCCTGTCTTCCCACAGCTAACGCTGACTCATTCTTCAGAATGCACCCTCATGGTTACTTCCTCCTGGAAGACTTCCCCAGTTTTTATAACTAGATCAGCTCTCCCTCATACGTTGACAACAAATATTTATTGTGTGAACATATGTTTAATGTCTGTTTCCTTTACCATGCCACAGCTCTTGGAGGGCTGGGACCAAAGTCTTCGCATCTCTGAGCCCAGTACCATCTCAATAAATATACAGGGACTAGATCATGACATTTAATTGGCAACAACGAGAGGAGTCCAGAAATTATATTTGACTAGCATAGAGGAGAGTATCGTTATGACCTCTTACTGGGTTGAAAACCTGAATTCATGTCCAGACCCCGCCATCTGCTGTCTGTGCTATTTTCAATAAATCCCAGATCCTCTCAGAGCCTGTTTCCTTATCTATAAAATGGGGACACTAACAGTTATCTCATATGGTTGAAGTGAGAATTTAATGAAATAGTATGTATCAAAGCATGGCTAACACTGTAAAACCAGACGTAAGTATACTTGGTCATTTTTCCCAGAAGGTAGACACACCTTGGCACATTGGGTTGTTAAATATCTATTGGATGGTTGGTTGGATGGACGGATGGATGACGGATTGGTGGACAGATGAACAGTTCGGGAGCCAGTGTGAGTGACAAAAGGGAACCTGACATCGGATAGCATGACAGAAACCAAAGACGGAGAGAATTTCAAGTCAGAGGGGGCGGTCAATCCACCCACAGTGTCAAATACAGTAGAGCAGTCGAGGAGAACGAGAGGGAAAATCAGTTCATTTGGGAAGAAGGAAGTCACTGGTGACCTCAGGGCAATTCCTCCTCAGCCTTGTCATGTTGCCTGTGCATTCAATGACATGCCTTAATTGTGACTTAATCACTTTACTGATTTTTATCTTTTTTGGAGGAAATCAAATTGATTTGTACATACAACAAAATTGGTGCGACTATGCCAGCTGCTGCCGGCAGGTGCTGACTAGTGAAGAAGTGAACGGCAGAGGATAAGAAAACACACTAATCATTTATTTTAATAAGGCCTAGAAACCTTAGTTATTTAATAAATTACCATGGATAATTGGTTTTCATTTCAAAGGGTCTTTTGTTTTTAACTCCCTGTGTTCCAGTAGGAATAGGCTAGCTGTATAGATAGGTACTTGAGGTATGAGACTCACCTGAGAGCTGTTAATCACTTCTTTTTTTAAAAAAGAGATTTTTGCTATAGGGTGTATGCACTCACCAGAGAGACAGAGAGAAAAAAAAGCAAGAAATCACCCCCCATGGGGGATGGCCATGTCGCAATCTCTTCTCCTCCATTCTCCTCCTGGGATCTTGGGCACACATGCACATGCACCCAGCATGAGTTTTAAGCCACTGGGTGCAGGACTCAAACCATAGTTGGCTATGTGGGAGTCCAGCAACATAACCATTATGTCAACCCTCACTTCTAAGAGCTTTTATCTGTCTCTTTGGCCATACCTATTTCCTGTCAGCCCTGCTACTGCCACCATACACCTAGGATAGGTCACTAACACACACACACACACGCACACGCACACACACACACACACACACACACGGTGAACATCAGCATGGAGCTCAGCCTCACCTCCCTGTAGGGCCCTGATCCAGCCACTCTGTATGGACCTTGAGAGTAAGGGACCAGACTGGACCCAGCCCCACCCTTATCACCTCAGGACTGACTCCTTGGAGTAAGAAAGACATGCTCGCCAATGAAACCCCATGGCCTATTTCAGAATGTGTCTTCACTGCAGTGCTCCAAACCTGGCTGACAGAATTAGTCACTCAGTAGGAAAAAAAGGTAAGAACAGACTACAGGGGGACCAGCAGGTGGTGCGATGTTTTAGGTGATAGATCCCAGACTCAGCAGCTTGATAAACACTCTGAGCACATGTACATACATGCCCGAATCTCAAGAGGAGAATGAAGGAGAAAGAATTGCATCCTGGCCATTTCTCACTTTCCCTGTCTCTGCGTTTGTCTATCTCTGGTGAGTGCATGCACCCTGTGGCAAAAAATCTTAAAAAAGGCGGGGGGGGGGGGCCCACCACATATTTTGTCCCCATGTAGTAGTTGATGGTGTCGAATGTGGCAATGATGGAGAAAGGAAGCAGTATTCAGAAAGACTTTAAAATGATTCAAAAACTGGGTCCAGCAGGTGGCATGGTGGTTAAGGAGCTGGACTCCCCCATGACTGACCACGGTTTGAGTCATGGATCCAGTGGCTTTAAAATCACACTGGGTGCTTGTGGGTGCATACCCAAAATCCCAAGAGGAGAATGTAAGAGAAGGGACTGCAGTGTGGCCATCCCCCCTGGGAGATGATTTCTCACTTTTCCTCTCACTGTCTGTCTCTCTGGCAAGCACACATACCCTATGGCAAAAACCCTAAACACATTTTTTTTTTTAGTGATTCAAAGAGAGAGTGTTTGATGTCCCACAATTCCTGCCGCCCTGTGGTCCCCCTGCAGCATGGATGGCTCACAGCACGTTACGGGTCCAAAGCCAGAATCGTGCACGTCTCTGTCCTCTTCCGCAGATCTCCTAGACCAAAGGCTTTCTTCGACAGCTCTGTGTTCACTTGATCAGTTTCATCAGTAGAATAGTTTCTGTGAAATAATGCACAGAGTTTTCCAAGAAAGACTACTGCAGCCCTGCTCCATCTATAAATGGTGCTGTTCTGGAAGGAACCACCACATTCCAGCTGGGAAGTATAGGGAGATACAGAGTAAAGACCTCATACAGCCACCTGCCTTCCATAATGGACCTCTCGGGAGGACTTTGTGATCAGCGGGGAGGCCTGGGAGGACAGGACCCACTCCCAGGGTTGCATGGCAGGGGCAGCAGAGCTGGAACCTGTACACACTGGTCAACTTCCCACTGGTCCACCAAAGGAGCAAATCCCCCAAGGTCTTGGGTCCTTACCATGTCCTGAAATACAAGGACAAAATCTCCTGCTTCTCCCAAAGGGGCATGATGACTCCCAACCAGGCTAGATTCATAGATCAGCTTGCCCTGTCTGAGCTTAAATCTTCTTTTGTGTAGAAAGTGAGTATAATCATGCTTCTTCAGAGAGACGGAATGAGGATTTAACACTATACTACATGAACCTGCTTCGCCCTAGCTCCATCTGGATGAGGCATGAGCTCTCACAGAAGCATGAAAGCCACGATATGTCCATTCCCTCCCTAAGTTCTGGTTTCCCGTCAAACATCAGTGCTGGGACCTAGCCCAGCCCACCCTCCTGGAATTTTATTCTACCATAGTTCTTACAGGCTAGGGTTGGAAATCTCAAGAAGAAAACGGTTCGTGAGAGTTTTGGGGCTGCTGGCTGGGATGGGAGGCAGGGGCAAGAAAAGAGATTAGAGAAGAAGTCTTCAGAATTCCTGCTAATCCAGAGATGGGGCCAG